CGGTGAATGCAAAGAGAAAGGTCAAGAAAGCCACCATTCATCTCTACGTGCTTGTACGACTTGCCTTGAACAGAAAGAAAGCTGTGTCAAGCGCGCGATTTTTGTTGCCGCGGTAGACTGCGAGACAGGCAACAAGGGCGCTTTTGAAATGATTAGGAAAAGTGTAGATGAAGGGAGTATGGATCCTGAAATCTCTCTTTTAACTGTACTACCTGACTGTGTGCACGTGGGAAAAAGTTTGAAAGTGTCATTCAGCAACTGGTGGCTTAAGCTGAACAATGAGCGTAGCAACATTGGTTTGCTTCGCACACTACGAAACCGCTCTACTTTCGATACTATGTCTAAAGTGAGAAAGCTTATACCACGGAATGACCATGTAAAGAATAAGGACCGCCAAGACCCTTCGGCAGTCTTAACATTATGCAGTGATGGATTAACTTCTTTCCTGTCAAGCGTTGGTTATGTCTGCCACACTCTAATTCCAGAGCTTGATAAATTCACCGACAACAATCGCCTGGGCATGTATCCGTCTCCTATTAGTGTCTCCATTGCAAACTTTGGATGGCTTCTGTTTCTTTCATGGGACAGCAAATTGGCTTCTTCCACTCTTTACCGCGCCCGTCTACATAGTCCTGTCGACAAAATATCTATTATCAAGAAGAATCTTGTTTCAACTCAAGTACACTGCGAGAGCAACGTGGCGTTTCTGAACTCGTCGGATGGTCGTGTCTTAATCGTCGAACTTGAGGACAACCATGTGTACCTGAATTCAAGCAAGATAAGATCAATCAAATGCTTACAGACTCTGAAAGAACGCTTTGGTTTGCCATTTACTGGAACACTGGCGGAGATGCGCAAAGAAGCAGGGAAATTTCTTAAGAGGAAAGAGGCAGAATATGCATCACTTGGACATGACAAACACCAAGTAAACTTCATGAACAAGGCTATCGAAGCGCACATTCAGGCGATTGCGTTAGTTGATAGAGAGCTTGTGTTCCTAGCAGACTCACATTCCAAGAAAATACATAGTGCACAGCTCAAGTATGACGGATATGGGGTATATGCGATAAATGTCCAACGCATCATTGGCTATGGGGACGATTGGGATTCTGTTGTCAGTCTTTGTGTGAACAACAACAAGTTGTTTGTATCACACAATCAAGGCATAACACTAATAGAACTCGCCTCCTGTAAAAGCCAAGTCGTTTACAGATCACAAAACGCACGATGCACCGTTGCGCCATTTCAGAGAGGAACCCTTTTCACAGATCAAGAAGAAGCAAGTCTCTTCAAAATTGATGAAGAGGGAAGGGTTCAGATATTTGCCGGAACCAAAGTTGAAGGAAGTCAAGATGGTCCTGTCTTGGAATGCCAGTTCAAGCAACCAGTTGGTGTTTGTGTTGAGTTTGACTCCGTCGTATATATTTGCGACGCTCAATCAAATTCTAATCAGAGAATGTTTAGAAATACATTTGATAATAAAAATTAACGAAAGATCTTGGCCGGAAAATCGGAACTGACCTACAACCAGTTTTCACGAGTCGTAAGATCGAGGGAAAGCTCAAGATACAAGAAGAGAAGCCCGCTTTAATTAACCACCAATGCGTTGTTTACACTTTTAAAATGTGATTCGTGCGATGCGGATTATATATCGGTTATACCACACGCCATCTTCATCAACGCATAGAAGAACATAAAGCCTCTGTCATTGGCAAGCATCTGAAAGAAGCCCACAGTGTAGCGTCCACTAACCTAGAGGAAATGTTTTCCGTTCTCAAGAAATGCCGCGGGAAAATGGACTGCCTAATTCACGAAATGTTATTCATTCGCGAACAAAAACCAAAGCTAAACACGCAGTCTGACTCATTACGTGCAAAAGTATTTATTT